TACATTTAAAACAGTGGAAAAAATCTTCCTTTGGACCTATCCTGAAAGAAAAAGGGAAAGGCAAAAGATTAGATTTGTTTTTACTACAGTGATAATTTGTTCATCATAACACAGAGTGAGATAGCAGCACTCTAGACTAGGGTTTCTCCACCTAGGCTTATGACATTTGGAGCCAGATCATTATTTTTGGTGGAGAACTATCTTGTGCACTATAGGATGCTTAGCAGTATCTCTGGCCTATAACCAGTAGATGCCAGTAGCAGACTACTTTCCTTCCCAACACAGCTGTAACAACCAAAAATGTCCCCAGACATTACTAAATATGCCTGGGAGGGGAGGAATCATCCCTTGTTGAAAACCTCTTTTATGATGTTTGTACACCAAAATTTACTTGATAAGGCTCAGAAGTGGACAAATAAAGAAAACTGTGGAAGGCCCTGGCTGGTGTTCTCAATGGTTAGAGCATAGGCCAGTGAAACAAACAATTGTGGGTTCAATTCAGTCAAGGGCACATACCTGGGTTGCAGGTTCGATCCTGTGCCCCAATGTGTGAAGGAGGCAATCAATCGATGTGTCCCTCTCACACCTCTTTCTCTCTCCCTCTCTCTTTCTCTCTCTCCCCCACCCTCGTTCATTCTACTCTCTCTAAAACTCAATGAAAAAAAAATATCCTCAGGTGAGGATTAACAAAAAAAGGGGGACACTCGGAAGGGAACAAATGGTATAAAAACTGAAATTCATAGGCTTGATTATCTTAATAGGTGTTTATAACCTAAAAATAAAAAAATGTGTTGCTATACTGGAGCTAAGAAGACAGCCACCTTTAAACAACATCATGAGCTCCTGAAGGTTATAAAGGCATTGAATTTGGCAATGCATAGACCGACGTAATGATAAACCAGAATCTATTTATCATGTACTTGAGCTCTGGAGTCAGTATTGAATTTTGATGATGCAAGTGCAAGAACCAGAAGTAATTATAAGTAGAACCTACTCAAATTATATCCAAATCTTGGAATCAAGACACAGGGTAGATGATTGGTAAGAAAACATGAGCCACACAGACCCACCTAGGAACAAAGGATTCACACAGGCTGAAAGTGAAGAGATGAAAAAAACTATCCCATGCAAATGGGAACAAAAAAAAAAGTGGGGTAGCAATTCTTCTATCTGAAAAATCAACTTCAAAACAAAGGCCATACAAGACACAAACAAAGACACTACACAATACTAATCAACCCAACAAGAGGATATAACCCTTGTAAACATATATGCACTGATTATAGGAGCACCTAAATACACATTAAAAAATACTTTTGGTGGACTTTAAGGGAGAGATCTACAGCAAGCATGTCAAACTCTCAGCCCGTGGGTCACATGTGGCCCACATGAATATTTTTGCAGCCCAGTCAATATAACAGTATGTAAAAAACGTTTCAATAAAAAGTTCGTAACTTAATGTTTAAAATATCCTGTTATACATAATTATTAATAACAAGCTACATTTGCTAATGACTGAATTGTTTGGTGTGCACAACAGGAAATATTTCGCTTTCAGAGCACAAGAAAAATAGGTTTATTTGCATTATGCTAATTAATTTGTGCAGTTTCTCAATGTCTAGTAAGTTATTGTTCAAGAAAAATATTAATTTTTCTTAAAATGTTCTATTATTTTATGTTAACAATTATTCATTCACTTCAGTCTTTTGTATTCAGCATGTCTCTATTGAAATAAACCTACGTTTCTATGAAAGTTGAAGCTTTTGTTTTTTTGCGACCCACATAAACTTAAACCTTGTTTATTTGGCCCGTGTTATGTTAGCCTTTGAGTTTGACATGTTTGATCTACAGCAACACAGCCAAAGTAGTAGAATTTAACATCCAACTGACATCACTGGATAAATCTTTCACACAAAAAAATCAACAAGGAAATAGAAACCTTAAACGACACACTAGATCTGAGGAATTTAATTGATATTTATTGAACACTTTATACCAAAGCAGAATATACATTCTTATCAAGCACACATAGAACATTCTCAAAGAGAGACCACATGTTAAGATACAAAATTAGTCTTAACAAATTCAAGAAGATTGATATCATATCAAGCATCTTCTAGAATCATAATGGCATGAAACTATAAATCAACTACAATTTAAAAACCTCAAATATATTCAAACACATGGAGGCTAGTATATTATTAAACAAACAACGAGATCAAGGAAGAAATCAGAAATTAGCTGGAAACAAATGAAAATTACCATTAAACATTAAAAAAAATATTATATAATGATAAATGAGTCAATCATAAAGGAAAATATAACAATTCTATGTAAGTACCTATTAATATTGCTTTAAAGTATATAAAACAAAACACAAAGGAGCACGTATTTTATGCTTCCATTTATAAAAAGTACAAAAAGGAGAGTGTTTACTTTGTGGGAGTGTATTGCCTTAGGGCATAAGAAAGGCTATTAAGATATTATGAATATTCTATATTGTTATTTGGGTAGTAGTTTAAAAAGTGTGCTCATAAGCAAACTCATAAGGCTGTTCATAATTTCTGTATCTTTTAGTATGTTTGGTATTTATCCTTAAAAACAAACTATAAAATAAAAGAAAGTGATTAAAAGTATTAAAAGTCACTATCTCCTATGGGAACAAAGAGAAAAAGACTGACATAGAACACTAGGAGCCTCAACATTAGTATCATTCTATTTCTTAAACTGAGTGGTTTTTTTGTTTATTACTATACTTCAAGACATACATTCACTACATATATGCTTTTGTATAATTCTAATACTTCAGGATTTTTTTAAAAATTCCTATATACCAACATGTGAATAGTAGCTTGTCAGTGGGTGGTTGGACTGTAGGTGGTTTTATTTTTCTTTTCTACTTTTCCATATTTTCTGACTTTATAAAAACTTATGTAATCTTTTAAAAACAAATTTTTAAAAGGGAAAAATCCACTGTTAATTTTCTACCTCAGATACTTACAAAACACTTCATTATACAAGCATATTTTACATCCCAAAGTTCAAACGTTAAATAGCCACACAATAGTTGATGGGCTAATTAAATAATTATTACAAAAAAAGCATGAAGAAAATGTTTAGAATAATGGAATGCTTTTTTATCTTGATTGTGTTGGTAGTCACATAAATATGAATATTTATGAAAATTTACTGGACACTTAAAATGAATGTGTTTTATTAGATGTAATTATATTCCAATAAAGTTGATCTTTAAAAACTATTATTGTCCAGATACACTAGAATTAGAAAAGAATATTTTACATACAGTACCTACAAATTCCACAGTTTTCACAATGATACTGCTTCTTGTCTTTGTCAAACAGATGGCATATACTGCAATAATATTCTCCAAACAATGTGCTACACTCTTCACAAGTCTGTTGGGCCTAAAAAAAGGCACACATAAGTAAAAATCGGGATAAATTTACCAAAACATTTTGAATTACTATATGAATATCCAGAATTATGTTAAAGTATATGCAGTTTTATTTTTATAAGGTTTTAAACACTTAAAGCAAAGATATTGCTTACTTTGAGAGCTGCCATACGTGGCAATACTCAATTAAAATTTTAAAACCACCTTAGTAAAAATTTTTTTAAAATAAAGAAAATAAAAATGTGATAAAATCTTACATGTTGAATTTTTTCACAATTTATGCACTGTACTTCCTTTACTTTAAAGCGATCTAGCTGATGATCTTCCTTGTTATCATGACACAACCGGCAAGTATACAACTTGTCACAGCAAGGTGCCTAATGCCCAGGGGAGAAAAAGAGTTATAATAAGCAAGAGAAGACAAGTTTGCAATGCAAAAAGAAATTTTCTTCCTCCTCTTCTTGGAACAAGTTCAAAGAATACAACCTACAAATCAGTTGGGTAAGCTGATCCAAAACATAACATTTCACTGTTTCTTGGCATATTTTAACTATTCTTTTCAACATCTATATGTTTGTATCAAGTTGAACACAACCTTGTCCTTAAAGACAAAAGAATCATGAAAGATGCAAATCTCTAGACTAGAAATTAACCCTCCAACACCCTAAACGGCAAGCCAGCAACAACTTCTTGACATTTCCAGATAAATTCATTTACCTACTTCAATCGCTAAAAATTGACAAAGACTGTCCACAAAAATCTGTTCTCTCCTTCCTCCCAGCTACACTACAGTTCCTACTTTCTCGCTGTTAGCTGTGGCCAAATGACTAAGTTCTTACCAAGAGAATATGGGCAGAAGACATCAGTGCCACTCCCATGCCTGAATATTAAGAAACCAGGCATGACTCCTCCTTCATGTTCCCTTTTCCCTTTCCGTAGATGAAACCTGTATATGCCCTAAAACATGGCAAAATAATACAACTGAAAAAACTTGTCTCTGGAGGGATCATGTAGAACAGAGCCTCATCAACAAACAGGATCACTCACCTTGGAACTGCTAGTAGGAGAAATAAACTCATTATTCTTTAACTCACCTTCCTCTTGAGTCTTTTTGTTATAGCAATTTATTTAGCCTTACCCCAACTAGTACATTAAGTTTTCAGACTAGCAAACTAACCCAATACTTTCCAGTACAACACTCAACTGGCTGCCTCTCTCTCCAACACTATTCTTGTCCTAACTCTTAGTGATCTGCACATCCACAATAATAATCTTTCCAATACCCTGAACTCTCAGTTACTTGCCTTTCTCACTTCAACATACGCTCAGTCATATACTACAGAACAGTGGCTCTCAACGTTTTGGTCTTAGGACCCCTTTACACTCTGAAAAATTACTGATTATCCCAGAGAGCTTTTGTTTATGTGAATTATATCTATTAATACCATATTATAAATTAAACTGATAGGTCCTGAAAATATTTATTACTTTTAAAAATAATAGTAACAAGCCCATTACATCTTAACATAACAGTTTAATAAAAAATAAGTTATATTTCCCCCCAAAATTTCTGGATTCTCAATTCTGTTTCTACATTCAATTAGTTTTGGTTGAAGTATCTGAAGAAATTTTGGACTCACACAAATACGTAGCTGGAAATGAGAGTACTTTAATAGCCTTTTCAGAGAATTTAGATATTGTTCTCTGATACTATACAAAAACTCAACAACTCTTGGTTAGTTGCAATATGGACTCTGAAATCATATCAGTAAACTATTCTCCCTGTTACAGTAAAACCCACTGACCTATCTTGAACTCTGAATGTACCTTTTACTCATGCACAGGTCATTTGGAAAGTATCAGTTCACTGAATTATGCAATATCAAAAAATCACATTTGGTAATATCACTACCCATCGCATCAGAAATTTTTTTAGGTATTGGGAAGCATTCAAGCTCACAGTGACTAAGACACGTTTTCCAAAATTTACTTGGTACATGAAAGCTCAAATTTTATCAGTTAGTTGTTTTCCTGGTAATGACACAGTCACCCTTCTCTCCTTTTTAAGAAAATGTTCACCAAATACCCAAGCTTGAATAACCATACTTCAAGTAAAAATATGCTGCTCAATAAAAAATGCAAATAGTTCATTCAGTTCATAATACAATTGCACAAGAGCTTTTCCTCACAAAACCACCTAATTTGTCGTTGATGAAAACATCAAACATGTGAAAAGATATAATCAAGGGATGAGATTTTATAAAATTAATAATTTTGCTGCTTAAGTTTTATCAATGACATTCTTAAGTGAACCTGGCTTTTGGTTTTGTTGGGGTTTTTGTAATATATAGGTGTAGCACAGTTCAGTGCCCCTGCCATGCCATGATTTGTGCTAAGGTGCCAGCAGTATTAATCACTAGTTTTGCACACACTTAAAGACAATGTCTTACGTAGACATTGAAGGAGAGTAGTTTTGACCTTGAGAAGTCCATTCATCCCACATGGAGAACCACTAATCTAGAACTGAGGCGTGTTTGTAACTTAATTTCAAGTATGGAATTCTCTAAACACTACCTCCTCTCTTTCCAACACACTCCAATTCTTCTGTACACACCCTGGGTTCCTTCTCTCTTCCTCTACCTACTCACTTACCCAGAATCTCAACTGGTTAAATCCAACTCTCAGACCCACTTAACTTACATGGGAACAGCTGAACACAGATCAAGAAAAAGCACATCAACACTGACTGGTCTCAATTTAAAGTCATAACCACTAAAAAAAAGTGGGTTCTTTACTACCATGTTTTCCCAGTCAATTCCCTCATTCTTCCAGAGTGTAGGTCCTAGAACCTAGATTACTTCACAACTCCTCTCCCTTTAAACCTTGAACACCTCTTCCTACCTCCTTACAATCTGCTGAATGACCTGGCTTCTTATTTCACTATGAAAACAACAGAAATAATCAAGAGAACATCCTCCCACAAATCCTATCAACCTACTTGCAAATGTACCTTATATTCTATCTTCCTTTCTGTTACAGAATCTACAGTCCATGTTATTACGAAAGGCTAACGTATGCACTGGGCTCCATGTTCTCTTTGAATACCCAAGGACAGCGCTCCCACCGTTTTGGCCTCTCCCTCCTATTTGTTACAAAATGTTCTCACTTTACTGGGTCATGCCCAAGAATATACAAACATGCAGCAATATCTCCCATCTTCACGGGAAAATAATCCCATGACCCCACATCTCCCAGCAACCACAGCCCTGTGTTTTCGTTCTGTTACAACACACTCCAAGGGCTGCCTATGAAGACTGTTAGCAGTTCCACTATCCCATTCTCTCTTGAATACACTCCAATAAAGTTTCCTCCCAGTAACTCCACAGAAGCTTCTCAGGATACCAGCTACCTTCTCCTGGAGCAATGTTTAGTTCTTCTCTTACTCCCACAGCAGCATTTGATTTAGTTGATGACTTTCTCCTAAAAACTTTTTCCACTTGGCCTCTGGTATTTAAGGAAGACAGAGGGGAAGGACCAAAAAAAAAAAAAAGCATCTGATAACTCAAGGCCCATTCGCTTAGTGTTATGAAACGAAGATACAATGCATAGTTTCTTGGGGGCTAGAGGGAGGGCTAAAATATTGAATTCAGCTTTAGATCTCACGCTTGAAAGCGTGACAGAACAACTCAGTGGAAATGGAAGCATAAGAATAGCATTCCTTACACCGCACATGGTGAACAACCAACCTTCAAAGGGCTCGCCCAGCGCAGTAGAGGAATAGTCCCCAAACCATGGCCTGCAGAAAAGCTTTAGATGGTCTTTACAGGCCTCATAGTTCTTCAACAGGAACTTCGATTATTAGCTGTATTTTATATATGAGGCGCTTAAAGGGTAGTTTGCTCAAATTATTAAGGGGCAAGGCTAAGATCTGGGTGTAGGGCTGTGGAGCCCCAAATCTCAAGCTTTCTAAGCAAAATCCTCAAACTGTTTCTTTCTTGCACGAAGAATCAGGAAACTTGAATCGGATGGGTGCCTATTTTTAAAATTACAGACCGCCTAGAAAAGTTTCTCAAAGTGAACCGCGAAAGTAACAATATATGCATATCAGGCACTGTCCTACCCATCGCGTCCTGCTTGGTGGCAATTACAAGACTGTCTTCCTAGTTCACACATCCATGTTGGCCTTGGCAGGCGGCACATTCACTGCCTCTCAAATGCAGTTGTAAAGCGTATCTACTACAGGAGCCGAAATCATATCGGACTCTCTGCTCGTTATTCCTCGTCCATTATTTCATCACACTGGAAGGGGATCCTGGGGAAAAGCCAGCACAGGCCCGAGACTGCCTCAGTCTACTTCCAGCAGCAAAAACAAAAACAAACCAGGTAAATAAACCCACTGATAACGGGGTCGATGTGCAAGCCCAGGCTCTTCCCAAACACGGACCGCTTTGCTTGCCAAGCACAAAACAGGAGGAAATGAGCGGCCTGTGGACGCCTCGCCAAGAATGTTCTCCGCAGCAGGAACGCAGGTGGAGGCGAAGAAGGTAGCAGCCTCACAAACAGCTCAGCCTCAAACTAAAACCCAGACCTAACCGCCTTGCTCACTCCATCCCCAGCCCGGCCCGGCGGAAGCTCGTAGAAGAGCCCAATTAAGTCGTCACCTTCAGGAGACATCCTCTGTCATAATGCTCGCAGCCCCGCCGCCCTCGCTCTGGGCCTCGGGCGCCATCTTCCCGCACCAAGGCCGCCATCTCCGCTCCCTCCCCTGAACACTCCGAGGACCCTTCTCCCACGATGGAAACTACGTCCAGAGGAACAGCGCCGCCCTAGCGCACCCCTCCCGGCCGCGGTGGCCAGCAGAGCCAATATGGCGACTGAGCACGTGACCCGGGGCAGTGGGGTTTCCGGCCGACGGAGCGGAAGCCGAGAAAGACGCAATCTCTGTCGTCGACGTTAGTCGCTCTCCTCGCTGCTAACGGTAATGACTCTTAGGTAGCCTTTGCTTTCCCCACCCCATGGCGACTCGCCCCAACTCTTGGGCGTGGCTCGGGCCAGAAAGACTGCAGCGGCGCGGAGACGCCCGGCGGCCTCGAAGGGCCCC